TTTCTCTATTTTAATTGCGTATTGTTTCTTTTGCGTTTTGTTTCTAGTTTTCTTTTATTCTTTCTTTTTTGCTCTTTTTTATTTAGTCTTTTCTTAGCTGTTTTCACTTCGTTTTCTTTTTTCTAGTGATTTTCTCTTTTCAGCTTAAAGGACTCGCAAGGAACGCCTGCTACAAGTGGATGGTTACGGTTCCGTCACTCAACATCATGACATAGTAACGAGAGGCCCCACAATGCCTTTCGTCACAAAAATGATAAAAAATGACTTTCTAGATGTCAAGGTCACGTTCATTTATTCGTGGAAGTATTTATCAAGGTCATRAACGTTTTAATGACGTTTCAAAGGAAAGACAGTGTTCTTTTATGTGTTCATAGTTTCGCAGGAATTCGCGAAACAGGTAGCTTGAAAAAAGACATTGTATATATTCTGAAATTTTAAATTAGATAAGATATCAATTTAAAAATACTAATATTTTGTTTAGAGTCAAATAATAATATGAATACGCTGTAAACTTCGCGATTTTACCATGCACATTTAGCCAGGCATATAATACATCGTCGCGAGATGCAACACTCAATGAAATTTCGTTAACTCCGATGTCAGACACGGAATGCAGCAATGTCACTACTATACTCTCAATACATGCTATATTTCTTGTGTATGAATTTATGATTAATCATTTGAAAGAGAAAAATCCATGTCCGTACGAATAAGTCACGCAGTTTATTCATACGGACATTTTCTACGACCTATTTCCAACTCAAATTGCCCGAAAATTCGAGACGGTTGGAAAACGTTACAAAGCTTAAAAGCACTCAAATGCACTTATTTACAATACTAATATAAAGGCTCTTTTCTGAATTTGAGTTGGAAAGGAGGTTGGAAAAAATTTCCGTATGAATAGACTGCGTGACTTGAGGGTCTCAATGCGGTTAATGGTGAGCCGTGGAACGGCTGAAAAATTAGCATCAAGGGAAGGAGGAAAACTGCGAGTGAGCAGCATTGCGCGCGAGACGTCGGGGACGACCCAGTTTTTGTATGGGTATGTGGARCAGTATAGAATTTCAGACAACGGCATCAGCAAATAGTTTATTCATAACTCATGCTATTTGACATGCGTATAGGTAGATTGCAGTGACACTGTCTAAGGGTGGCTCTTAGCTTCTGTGTTTTTTTTTTTCATTCATCTCGATCCCAGACACACATTCTCCGCTCGGATAGGCAGTGCAGAAAGGGGCTCTGGGGAGTAGATTGTCAATATTATTATTATTATCAAAATTGGATCACGACTTTATGTTCCTCTAAATAAGCGACTTGCGAATTTGATTTCAGTGCAAAAAGAACATTTATTGTAAAAAGACAATAGTTTTTCACGAGTAAATGAGCTTTATGYATGGCGCCTCGTCTTAAATCTCGTGTTTGACTAATAGAGATGAAATTYGTAAGTTGGCAATTGCCTTGGTTTCATCGAGCTGTCAGTCAGCTTGGGAAGTACAAATTAGAATATCAATCCTTTTTGGGCTAATGAAGCATAAAGTCGATTGTCACAGCTAATGTGAGTGAAACTATTTGTTATAAAACTACTATTTCCWAATCCCTAATTTCGTGATTTTTCAAATATCCAATCACCGTATTTAATTTTTTGTTTTGTTTTTACGAGAACAATGTCTGATGCCGAATTGGATTGGTTCATTTTCRCATTGCAATTGATAGATGGGGAAATTCTTGGTCCGCCATTCTTTTAATCGATCTAYAGAGTGCCAAACCGCTACGAGAAACGATGGATAACAAGCCACTGCAATCAATCATAGGGCATCTTTGGCATTCATATTGAGGTATCTAATGGTACGGAAGCTAAGGTAGCATTCGCTTCATAGAGTTTCAGTGTTTTATGACAGAAATATCCATGCTTGAAAGAATCTTCGATAATTTKGCACTGTAGTATTATTCATTATGACTGATAGCAGTCTTTTGCATGCATGCACTATTGAGAATATTGACTAAATCACGGTGCTGTTCTGTGTAAATGAGCCTCGTTTTGATAGAACTGGAAGTTCGCCATATTCGCTCTCTTCTTCATCTTCAGAGGACTCAGTTTCTTCCTCGACGCTGTCTTCACTACTGTCAGAAACCTTGCTTTCCTCGACCATCTCGTCCTGGCGTCTCTTTTCACGATAGGCCACCAAACAAYGAACAATCTCATCGAAACTGTGATTAGCAATGAATTCATCTAACACAGGAATGGCGTCGCACAAATCATTCTCTGTGAGGTTTTCTTCATCTTCTATCAACATCTGGATGACCAGATTTTTCTTTCCGTTCGTCTTCTTTGGATCAAACCACTTTGTTTGTCGTATGTCCTCCATACAAATGTTCCTGAATGCGTACTCGATATTGTCAGAAATGTCCTCAACGCTTTCTACGGCCTTCTCTAGATCAGACTTTTCATCAATGTAAGTTGGTTTTATCGCTGGACCGCATTTCTTTCCAATGTTTGACTTCACTGCATGGACCATGAACGCAAGCATTTCGTGGTCATTTCCTTGTTGAAGTACGTCACGATTTACYTCGTTAAAATTATCCACTAGGATACTGAGGAATACATTCATCAAAATGAAGATTATCAATACCACATAAGTGAAAAAGTACAATGGCCCAAAAATCCGGTTTGCCTGGTTCAATGCGTGGAAATCAAAATTACCAAGTGTCATAGAGAACACGCTAACGATACTCCTATGGAATGAAGCATAATTCTTGTCTGATACACCGAATATCGAGAAGCCAAACTGAACATAAGCAAGGAAGATTACTGCAAAGTAGACGAAGAAGAAGAACAGTGGCTTTGCTGCTCTTTTTAGAGTCAAAGACAAYAGAGCCATCCGTCGATTAAAGCGAAGCAACCGAAGAAATTTCAAGAATGAGAAGAAAACTGCTAGACTACAYGTAGCCGAAACCCATTCGTCTAAAAACGCCACGTACTGGAAACTGACGAAATTGCTCCGAGTTTCTTTCATGTTGCTAATAGTTAACGTTGTCATGCCCATTCTCGCAAAGTATAATCCAACTGAAGAGATTGAAAAGCTCAGAAGAACAATTTCCAGATAGTTCCAGCCATCCTTGAAATATTCTCTTCTTTCTGYCCGGTATTTCCTGACCTGTTTATACAAAAAATATAACAGGAAGGCGATATAAGAGATTTCGCATGCCATTACAAATGCCATTTCTGGACCAATATAACGATAAAGTCGTATAGTTTGAACTTTGGGTGAGTGAAAGTAGGCKCCAGTTGCACGAATCTCGGCGAGTAAGGTCACAGCACAAAAGAAGTTTGTGAGGGGATTGTAAACAGTGAATTCTGCAAAAAGGGCCCGTGAGTATTTGTCAATCCATCCCGATGCTGATAAGTTTGCTGCAAGAGCTTCGGCTTCTTTTCTATCGCTTCCGAGTTCTGCCACATAACCTGCAATAAAAAAATGGCAGAGCATCTTATTATTGATTATAACTACAACAAGACAAAAAGATAAAAAAAGCACACAGAAGGCAACAACGACAACAACACGAAAGTCCACTGACCACAACCACAAAAACATGACAAGGACATCGATAGTAGAGACGACGCGASGACAACTTGGACTAAGAGACAACTAAACAAATGCAAAGCTGCTTGTATTACCTCCACCCCAATAAGAAGCAAAGAAGCCCCAATATGGCGTTCCCTTTAACTCCCAAGCACTTCTGTAGTACCATGGTGACTTGCTATTCTCGTCTTTTGTATCATTTGTGCCAAACGACTCCCATCGAGGATTATAGCTTTCAGTGTCCTCTAGGTCCCAGTCATAGTCCRCGTTAGACTCATTAAACATTCGCGCTACGAACGGCAACATCTTGCTTTGATCTGATCAATTAAAGTACATATAAATAATASTGTTATCATTTGGCTGGACTTAATCCATCAAACAGTGCAAATTACAGAAAAACAAGTACAAGAATAATAAGACAATGATTAAAAAGCCACGAGTAGGAAAGGAGGAAGAAGTAATTCGATAGAGAAGGGAAAAACTTTTTCTCCTTGAAGGAGACTGAAAAAAGAAGAGAAGCAGGAGGATGGGTGCAGAAGAGAAAGAGAAAAATGAGCAACAATAAGAAGATGAGTTTAAGCAAGATGACAAAGAGAAAAAAAGGAAAAGGAGATAGTTAAGATAAAGAATTAGAATTCCAAAGAGAAAAGTGAAGAATGGAAAAAAAATGAGAAGCTTGACGTAGAGAGCGAAGAAAAAAAACAGCCCTAACCAATATGGGTAGTGAAAAGGATGAATTCCCTGAAAGGATCAAATATAGCATCCCGAGAAAGATAATAAAAACGTTTCCATATTTACTTCTTCGAATTCTTAGCTGTCTAATTCTTGGTGATCCAACTAGATAAGCTGTGGCGTGGTCAGCGACGAAACCGTTTGGATATGTGCGAAGAACTGATGCGTTCTTTACATAATTGCCTTGTGTATTAACCCATCCACTGGAATTCTCACGACCCTTCATAAAAAGTACTTCACTGTCACCATCCGACGTTCTATAGTCTACATTAGATTCATTAATCTTCTCCATGGGTCCGTACCAATAGTATGGTCTTAAAGTTGGTATGTAGCTCTGTAATACCCATGTCCAATATTTTGAAGGTCGGTCGAACTGGAAATACAGATAGAAAAACATTAATTTTGAGTGAGTGAATTTATAAAATATTCTTTACCAAGAAACAATTCTATCTTTATAGTTTTCCTCATGTCATCTTATAAACTCTATTCTTTTCAAACGATACATAAACWCCACACTTACTTGATCAAAATCGTCCAATCCTGAATAGTCAGAYTTCACAAAGAAACCATCCATTGCCCTTGTAACGCCATATGCCATAGGATCCCTGTTACCGTAAGCAATTACTAAAACCAAGATCAAGAAAAACAGGTACTGTACAATCTCATACAAGATTGATTTCATCTGTTTCTGTTTAAGTCTAAGTTGCCGGTAGGTTTCAAGTTTTACTGGATCTGGTGGTTTTGCTACGAAGCCCATCTTCCGTATTGTCTTCTCTTCCTCGCTGACGTTGACGTTCTTGTGGGCAAGCTCTTCATCGGGATTTAGCTCATTCTGCTGTTCGTCGTCTTCATTCTTGTTGGGATCTTTAATAACCAGTGCAAAGAACATTGCGGCAGCAAATACCTTTTATTCATAAAGAATAAATAAATGAGAATGTAAATTRCGATGCTGCCGATCTACCAGATTCGGTTAACGTTTGCCTAATATTTTCAATCCAATCGATAAGTGATTGTCTAGTACTTGAAGACACTAGAATTTAAAAGCATTTTTCCTAGAAAGAAGCATAGGAATAAAGTTATTCAAGATTTACTTGTGAGGTTAAAGTACCTTGAGAGGTTGGGAAATAAGCACATCTTGCCAAAAMGAAATCATCATGGACGAGATCCATCCTTCCGATTTCTCTTTTCCAAATGTTAATCCATAAAACACAGTAAAAGTGGCTGAAACGGTCGACGCGATGAAGATCAATACATATGCCACGTAGGCAAACTTAGGACTCAAGTTAGCACTTTTCTTCTTYTTCTTTTCTTTCTTCTTGGTYTTTTTAKTTTTCTTCTCCTCTTCTTCTTCCTCTTCTTCCTCTTCCTCTCCCRCTACGTCCTCCGAGTCTTCCTTGTCGCTACAATCCTCTTCCTTGTCATTCACGAGAATCTGTGTTTTTTCCTCGTCAAGTCTGTACTTCTCGCTGCTTTTGTTTGGATCTTTTTCTTTGTCTTCCTTTGCCTTTGGGTCTGCTGGCTTGATTTTACGGAAGATAGTCACTACAATGACATTAACAGGAAGTACCACCAAACTGCTGGTTATACCAATGGAAATTTGTCTAATGGAAAAACTAAATGGACCAACATGAATGGACGTTCCTGTTGATGACTCGGTCCCTACTTGGTAAAACATTGCATTGGCAAGCATCGTCGTCAATATGACGGACAAGCAACAAGAGAGTCTTTGAACTCGCGTAAAAGTGCTCTTAGGTGGTCGGGCAACAACGGAAAACCAGAGGTGGTTATCGGTCAAATTCTTACGCGCTTCAGTGGAAAACAATAGTCCGAAGTTTGTAAGTTCCTCCTTGGTCGCTGGATGGAGGGTTCGCTCGATCATACCATCATCTTCCTCTACAGCTAGCCATCGAAGGTTGACAAACCATGTTTTCTTGTCAACTTGGAGATCTCGAACCATGATTCGCTGCAAAAACCATGAAGGGTCATTGCCCTTATTGTCGTGCCAAATATGGAGCTGCTGCAATTTCCCAAGAGACCTTGGAACTGCAAGTAAGAAATAATCCACAGCTCCCTTGCAGAATTTCTTTCGAGCGGGATCCGGATCACGAAGTCTTTTAGGTGATGTTTCGTCCAGGCCCCCGGATAGGATAATGTACACATCTGATGTTGTYCCGGCATTACTTGCATGCCCGGTGTATACAACAATCTCGTAGAGATAGGTATCCCTTGGGTCATTATCGGGTAGAGGTGTGAGACCAATCTGAAAGCAATTAGATTCTTAGATAATGAGAATGTAAATAGAAAACCATTCCAAATGAATTAACCGGCGGAAAACCACTAAATTACTACCGCTATCCAAATGATACCTTTTAAAAGCAATAAGAACAGGCGATTACATAGTAAAACGAACACCCTTTCTTACCTTGTCCAGATCTTTTTTGTCCGCCCGTCTTGCCCATATAAGGAGAAGGAAGTATAAGCCAAATATCACCATGACGACAATAAAAACAATTGGATTATTAAGCAATTCTTCGAGGTTGACCTTGTCAAAATCGATCTTATTTGGAGGCACAAAGAAGTCACTAGCAAACGACGTGGCGTGTGTTGAAAGGCATTCTGTGACATCTCGGGTGGTTTKGGGTCCAACCTGATCGAAAACAATTATCAATCACATTAAGCAAATAACTACAATAGACAAGTGGCAAATAAACAATCRCGCAGGTAGACAGACACTACGTAATTGCAGGCCGTGCGGTAGGCAGACAGAAACAACAAGAACCATCTCAAGACTGACATTCCTATCAAGCCTGTATCGTGATAGGCGTGAGTTTTTAAAGGGTTACAAAACCAATAAAGAGGGAAATCAGTGGTGTAATTAATGCTTTATTTCGTATGGACCCACCAAGTGTAGTAATTACTATACCTTCATCCCGGCAGTACTGAACGATTTGGTGGTCTTGTTAAARAACATACAGGCCGCTGTATAGATGCTGAAATTGTAAGACACCTCCATCACTTTGACGTCTTTGTCTGCCACTGCTATCATAAGACTCCATGTTCCTGCGGCGGTTTTGTTCAGCTCTTCGTTCGACAAGAACCACACGTTAGGTCTTGCATCGTCTGTGGTGTTTAGGTCCGTGAAGTTGAAAGTGTGGTTGTAGTCATGCTCTGTCGGCGACGGGCAATCGTTGCGTCGCAGGAATGCATAATAGCTTATATTCTCGTTATACGGAAAGAACTCCACGTGAATCGAGCTRTGGTTTTTTGGTACCTGATATACAATTTTAAAAATAGTCTAAAATGAAATTCAGTTTGTTCTACTTGTTCTTTATTTACTTATGATGATTATGTTTTAAAGATACGATTTTATATACTTTCAGAAACCAAAACTCTTAAAACTAATTGAAAAGTTTGCTTGTAGCTCACGTAAAAAATATTGGAATGAATTACAGAAAGAATAGTATGCCAACCTCAAGAATGTGGGTGTTAAAGCTATAGACATCTAGCTTGTTGTGTGACACGGGAATCTTTTTCCCTGGCTGAGAGATCATGACGGAGATTGGTTCACCTAAGTCCTTTATGGGCTTGTTGGATCCATCCTCACCGCTCAAACCAAGGTCGAGGACTGGTGAGTTGACGTCATTAGCTCCTTTGGCCCATCCAAACGGATTATCTGTAGTCTCGACCAACTTAAATAAAAGGCATTTATTTCATTTAGGTCCTACAAGCGATATGACCAGTACAACTACAATACACAGTAAAAAGAGAATGGTTCATACCGTTACTCCAAATGATTCTTTGGAATTTGGATCGACTGCATTTGTAAGTCCACCCACTCCACCTCCACCTTTTGAMGTCACTTTTTTCAGGCCCTCCGCTGACGTTTTAGTTGACGTCATAGTCAACCTGTCCGTGGCAATGGTACTTTGCTCTCCTGAAACCATTTGYGACTGAAGTGCACCTCCAATATTACCAAATGTGTCCATGAAACCCATGCTCTGTTTCATTTGCTCTTCCTCATTTTTCTGTAAATAACGACACAAACCTTTAGTCAATGTTGCAGACTCGGACGAAATTAAGCTAGGCACACTGCGTTGGCAGAAACGTGRAAGTGGTACAATCGAAAGCACTCCTTGTAATATGTTTGCATATTGACTGCTTGAAAAAAGTTCCGTTGTGMAAGGATTTTGCGTCATGTGCCTCTTTTGGGGAGGTCCTCACAATCCATTAGTTTTCCCAAGTTACATTCCTTTCTTTAAACTACTTCACTTCAGACTTTCCTGACAATTTAAGACTGATTTACACGGTACGATTTGTCGCGCGCGACTTGTAGCATACGATTTTCCTACTACAAGTCTTAGGACTTTAAGCAGTGGTTCAAAACCCTACCCTACTTTTGTAGACAAGTCGTAGGGGCATTTACACTGCGCGATTCAAGTCGTATACTACAAGTCGCACGAGACAATCGTGCCGTGTAAATCAGCCTTTACCGATCTGAATGGATTTAAATATTATTCGTTGAAGTCCTGTTTTCGMAACTTATAGAATCAGAAACATCAAGAAGATATATATTTCTGTTGTACAAAGTACTGACTTCACAATGTATTTCTCTAATAATCACACCACAGTGCACCTGCAAACTGTATAAAAATGATAATGACAATAACTAACTAACAGACTATTCTAACATAACCATGCCTTTGCATCTTCGGGTGAGTTGGCTGCRCTCTTTGTCCCATTGCTGGATACTGCTAATGTAGTTAAGGAAGAYCCAAGTGCTTCTACCATGCCACCAGCAGCATTCGAAAGCTCAGAAGGTGGAAACGAACTGATGTCACTGGCAGCTTCCATAAGGCAATCCACCGAGACTTTCTGAAATAGCACAATATRTCAGGAATAGCTCAACATGCTTTCGCGTCCGATYMGCTGGAAAATGGAAACTAAATTCGTTTTCTTATTCATAGGAAGGGATCCTGATTATTGAACTATGCTTCATAAAACATATATCAATATATGAAATGGAGCGAAAGATTGGCGAACTTCGTGGGGCTGCCAGAGGGGCAGGCGGGGGGATGGGAGTGCAAATGTGCATCCTGTCCTCCTCCTTGGCTAAACCCTTGCAGGTACCCCCTTTCCATACATACCTGTGTATGTTCTGTTAGAGTGGCGTTCACTGATAGTATTAGATTAATTACAGAGGCCTTGCATGATGCTTTCTTTGGATCAGAACTTACAATTTCACAAGTGGAGTTCATGCAGAATTCCGCTGCCTAAAAATGAAAAAAGGGGAATTCAAAGGAATGGAAGAAAATGAAATAAAATGAGATGACCACATAAATGATGTCTACCCACGCGCGAGTGCGCATAAATTAAGGTCGAATTAACATTCCCAATATCCAGACATTGTTATCAGTCACATTGACAAACTATTCTGACTTCCCCATGAAAARGAGAGACAACGTTGAGTTAAAACTACACTGGTATAACCTGTACCTTAACGATCAACTCTTTAGTCGTTTTAGACCACTTTGGTCTTGTTGCTTGAATCTTTATCATGTTACTYATTTCCATATAAGTGTACGCACAGAGTTCGTCAATTCTTCCCTCGCCCGTGAGAAGTGGTATATGACCTTCGATGTTTGCGAGATTTCGAAGGAATACCTGGAATTCACTYTCGTCTTTCTCTTTTAGTGTTACCTGTTGAGATGGAAACATTTGACATGAAATAACGATGTTATCACTCAATACGATCGTCATTCGTGAATAAGTGCGATGTTCTAGTGCTCRGTGAGTCGGATTYWTGGAGCACAATCTTGTTGTGCTATGTTTCACGGAGTGAGCCTCGAGTTCCCGAGGTTCTTGTTTGACTCAGGGTAAAGGATGATGATCCTTGCAGTGTGATAGATTTGCAGCTGGCGCTCATCTCACTAAACGTACTTTTGATGTGTTTGAAAGACAAACAAATTTTTTAAAAGTATTATGAATACGCTGCTTACCTTCACCTCTAAKTCCACCTTTTCGCATGCTAGATGCGGATCGCAAATGAGAACGCGCAAACTGTTGTTGAAATCGCGTTTTTCTTCTCCAACACGTAGAGTTGTGGCGTACCAAGTACTAGAATCCGAGCGCATTTTATATATCGGCGTGAGCCTATTCTTATCTTTATCGTAATAGTTCATTGAGAATGTAATATATTCATCGTCATCCAACCAATTCGGACATGAGAAATTAAACTTGGTGTCACTGTTGCCTATCTTCGGATTAACGTCGCAAGATCCGTTTATTGGAGATGGATTTGTTCTCACTGTAGAAAGAAAGACGGGGAGGATTAAAGGGCTACTTGGACGAAAATTGCGAAGCATTAGAAAAGACTTGGAAATCAAATAGACCTATCCATATGGGTCTAATAATCATGAATCAACAGATTTCAAGAAGATATTGWTACAAATCCTTAATAATTTGGGGGGRAAATGTTGGAGTAAATGACGTCATTTACTCCATCCTTTTGTTCATCAATCTTTTGAATCAAAATTTCTCTGATGTGAGATAATTCCAAAACAAACATTTTCCCKCAATTGTTTTCAATAGATATTAATGAGTCATATATTTGTATTGCTTGAAGTTTTGAAATAAGGGCTTTTCATGSAAGTTGTACTTTAAATCTGATGTGCTTCGCATTTATCAATCTGTGATGTTGCAAGAAGATTTGCGGCATAAAGTCCTATAGTTATCCAAACAATTACCTTTTCTACCGGAATATCCCATCACCCGGTTTTTCGTGTCATAAGCGTTGATTTGAAAGTCATAGATCTCGCCTCCTACAAGGGCGTTGGGCTTTATCACAAGATTCTGGAAGGTAAGAGGGGTACTAGCCATAGTCTTTGCGTTAGGCATTTCAACCATTTCTTGAGTTGTCTTGTYTTGTTTGAAAATACGCCATTGATATGTGAGTTCACCACAATCAGGACACGTGCAATAGACTTGGACGCCGTGCTTGTCTGAAGGATTCACCTTTTTGCCACACCCAACAATACACCTATTAATTGCGGTTAAAGTAAGTTTATTAATCGGTCAGTTCACTTTGCACGATGCACCTGGTAAATCCCTTGCGCTCACATCTTATCTATTACTTATTTAACTCAGTAATAATTTATCTTATCTATAATTATCTAATTGTTCATCTTATCTATTACTTACTTAACTCAGTAATAATTTATATGACAAATTGTAGAAAATCTGAGATATGAATTAACGAGTTTGACTGAGTTTCCTTGATATCATGAATCAAATAATGTTTTTTCTAATCTGCTTATTTTACGATATAGGTCTAAGTTCTACAACCATACATTTTACATACATAAAATAGGAAGATTTGATAATATTTCAGGGGTAATTTCCCATTAGATTGTTGAAAAACAAATAATGCTCATCAGTACAGACCATTTTTGTCAAAGGGTCTCTTTTTGTTATGGATGATACAGCCTGAGTAACAACCGMCATTAAAAAATTCATTCATAACTACTCACTTGATAGTGCAATCGGGAGGAGTTCCAGCTACAATGAGCATAGACAAGCTTGTAGAGGCCCAACGCGTGTCTTTTTTAATCTTTAACACAAATTCGTASTTGCTATTAACCTTCATCCCATCGGTAATAATTGTRATTTTACCATCTGTAAGGTCGATCCTTCCTGGTCCATATCCAAAACAACCRGAATAAGGTRCCGTGGYATTCGATTGCTTTAAGGCTGCCTTTAAATCAGGATTTGTAGYTGCTGGCATACCCTGTGTTGTCGAGGAGTTTGCATCAAGRGGCATAGGCTCACTCTTTTCATGACAGAACCAGTAGATAGTTATACCACTGGAGTCACCGGTATCGGGATCACTTGATATTGTGCCATCAATGGTAAGTGATTTGTTATAGCCAACAGCCTTCGAGGAACCTCCCACAATTGCGGCTGTCAAAGGAGTCTTAGTGATATTGATCCAACCATATGATTCAACAAAAATTCCTTTAGTACCACCCCCTAACATTTCAACCCGGGCCGAGAGTCTGTGAACTCCATAAGTCAGACACCTTGGATGAATAAGCAGACTTGGATGCGTCATATTAATTTTCTTACTGCAGTTTGAAGTGAGCGGTTTGCAGCTTTCAGGGTTTCCATCCTCATCGCATTTATTGATACCCCATTCTCGTTTCGAGTACTTCGTGGCTTCGCAGTCTATCTTAATGATGGGAGTGATTGGGATTTGAATAGACCGTCGATACGATATGGGAAAATCCGCGGTGATGTTAGCTTCAAAACTAGTAAAATTAACTTTAGGGTATTTGCAGGGTTTGGGCGATACATTAGCTAGAGTGTCCACTTTAATTGTTGATACGTTATTGCAGGCTGTAGCACGTATTTCGTAGTTGCCAATGTACTTATGGACGTGGGAAAAATTGAATGGAAACGAGGAGTACGTTTCCGGGAGTTTACCGTAGCTGCACTCCGGTGCACAGTGAGTGTCCAACGAAGGCTTATGCAAAAACGATGTGCCGTTTCCTATGTCCAACGCCAAGCATGTACTCGTGCCAATAATGTCAACATTGGCAATAAAAACAAACGGTTTCCCAAGTGCGATTGGACCATTATTTGAGAAAGTGAATCCAACCACAGCAACTTGTATTCGGAGYAGAAAAGYTTTTGTTATGAAGCCGACAGCATTGGTAAAAGTAACGACTGGATTATACATTCCAGGCTGATAGTAAATATGGCTGCAAGTATTATTTTGGATTTCTGTAGGCGGCGAAGAATCACCCCAATCGCATTTTAGCGTGACATTTGTCCCATTGCCCCAATCAACATCTATATAGATACTTTGATTTGTYGGRAARTACGASTGGTYAACACCTCTGCCTTGTCCACGAATTCCGTAAATCCCYCCACTAGTCGTAAAGTTTATRATACTGTTATCGATGGGGGTTTCAACTTGAGCAAATGTCACCAAATGGGCAGTACTGATGTCATTGGWACACGTGGCGTTGACGTCATACCAACCCGGTTTGRTGTATGTATGGGGTACTGTTACAACTCTATCAAATTGAATRCTCTCTTCTATCGAATCTCCAAAATTCAACCTACATGTGGAGTTGGTTGGGAAGGGGATAACATTCGGTTTATTGAACGTACAATTGACTTTACCAGGAGGAAAGTGTTGAGGATCACTGCAAACCAAGAAAACGTCCTTGTTGGGGTGTTGTGCTTTAACAAATAAGACAACCACCTCCTGGCTAACACTGTTGTTACAGATGACATCGACCACGGCATCAATGGCATCATTGTATGTATGTGTGACATTTTCGCCAGACGATGGAAAGAMACCTTCGCGAAAGAGAGTTGTTGTRGTGCCGTCTTTGTAGTCAAAATGACAAGTCACGTTTGAACCTTGAGTGATTTCAACTTGGAATATTGATGAATTTTCGACGTAAACGTACTCTTCAGTCAACCTGGTCACTGATAACCCTCCAATAATCTGGTCAATRTCGAAAAAAGTTTTAAAAGACTGCAACGCAGTAACATTGTTYACTGCAGTGGCCGTCAGGAAGTAAGTGCCAACGACGTCGCACTGAAACGTCAGAGTGCCATTTGTATGTTCGGCATTGAATGCAGGAGTAAGTTCAAYTGTATTTCCAGTGTGTAGGTTAGTTTTGTTGACTTTAAACTCCACACCACTYCCGCTTTCAACGGCCACATAAGTACTTGCAGACTGTCCAAGAGGGCAGGCAGGTAATTCACCAATWCTTAAAGCTTTCATTGGTATTTCAACAATAGCAAAAGCTGCTACTGTTGTGCTGTACAAACGGTTAACACATTTGACATTGACATCGAAATAACCGATTCTTGCGTAAGAATGATTGAATGGCTTGCCAAGATGAGAGTCGTTAGAAACACTGGTCAGTCCGTCTCCCCAATCCCAAGTGCAATTAAAGTCATTACCTCCATCGATAGTCAATAARCAAGCTGTAGGATCAGTAARATTAGTTGGTTGGCAGTCAATAGTGAAGTTTATCAAAGGATACACGGGCTTGTAAACGTRGATGCTCTTGGAGAAATTCAATCGACTGACATTATTGAAGACTGTAATGTTGATATCGTAGGACTGGWAGTTCACGTAACTCTTGGATACGCGCATTTCTTTTTGCATATACGAACTCTCAGTGATGCCGTCTCCCCACGATAATTGGTACTTGGGATTTGTGCCTTGCGTTATAACACAATTAAAGTAAATTGTCTCGTTGACCTCAATGTGCTCATGCGCAAAYTCCTGYGAAARTGTACAACTAAGACTCAAAATTTCTTCTTCTACGATAACGATTTCAGAGATATTTTGCCCCGAGGCATCRTTCGTTGCATTGACTGTTACGTCGTAGACCCCTACTGCATGGGAGTGAGAGAAACAACCAATGTATTTGTCTTGGACGTTAAATGTACCCTTGGAGGAGGAGAAATTATTACCGTAATCCACTTTAACAGTCACCTTATCCCCTCCCGTTAGCTTAAAACAAATGACTGTTTTGTTTGGGTACGTAACAGGGGAGATGGCTTTAGTAAACTCCAAACCTTGAACCTTTTCTCGTACCCAGATTTTGCATTCTTTGTATACAAGATTGACGTCATTCCACAAAGTTATTGAAATGGTTTCTTGTTGACGYTTTTTGTATGTGTGAAMGARTGTGTACTGGCTTTGCAACGAGACGCTCTGTGAAGATGTGTTATCAAAGCGAACAAGGACAGATAGATTACTTCCTTTTTCAACAGACACTGTAAAGGAATACTCCTCGTTGAAAATYGCCCCGGCTTTATAGAACAAGGACAATCCCTCAATTTTCTCTTGCACATCGATGTTCGCGCTCAATTTCTTATTGCGCACGCTCGACTTGACATTTATACTTTCAGTGAATAACCCAATCTCGGAGAAATTTAACGGAATTTTCATAGAACTGGTGATTTTGCTTTGTAAAGAAATAGAGTACTCCATAAAAGAAATGTTCCCATTACTTGGCGTAAGAATGGTTCCCRCTCCAGCGTTAGATTCAGAAATTGTYAACACTGACGAWGTCTTTGTCAGTCCACTCGGTTTAACTTCACGGGAAGAAATCTTTARAGGAGAGCTTGAAGGGAAATAGAGCGCGAACAGATCACCAGTTTTGAAGTGAGTGATGTTAACATTATCAAAGTGYAATTTTTGTCGGCCGATGSCTGTAAAACATACGGTGTTYACACCTACTACTTCRAGCTTGAATGAGAATAGKTTCTTGSTGTTTTCAGCTAAAGACTCGTTAATCGTGCACAGGCCAAAGTCAGAAGAGAACGTGTGTCCATTAATGCAGATGGAGCTTAAAGATGAGCACTTAGTCATTTGCTTTTCAATATTTCCGTTCGAATATTGGTAAACATTCTCAGGGCCTGATCCGCAAATTGGACGAACAACCTAGAGATAGAGAGAGAAACATGTAGATTTTGTTATTGATGAAAGATTAGGAAATGAATAAATGAAATGGAAGAAAACAAAAAAATTAATCGATTGATGATTGATTGATTGATGATTGATTGAGAAGATGACAGCACCTGTATAGACATGCAGCCTGCCGCCTCAATGAACACATCTATTCCCAACAGCCTGCCTTCATCTGGTGCCTTTGTGTTCAGAAGAAGGACTGTTGTCCCTTTTCCAGGATCCGGCGATGCATAATCAACATCAAATATCTCTCCGAAATTCAAGCCAATGCTATCTGTAGAGATAGGTATAAATTACTTTCAGATTCGCCATATGAGAAAGGAAGTACAATAAAGAAAAAAATACAGCAAGTATGGTAGAATAAAGACAGATCCAGCGAATAAAAAGATGGAAGGGATGAAGAAGAATGCTARCAAAAAGAGAAGAGGAAACAAATGACAATGAAAAAATGGAAGAGAGGAAGAACGGGAGGAAGTAAACGGAGGGATGAAAGCAGAAGACAAAATATACATAGTCAATAAAAAAGAAGTGAAGAAGAAAGGACGATAAGACAAGACAAAAACAATAAACGGATTGCCAACAAAATCATAAAAAGAACTTACCATATAAATCAACCTCTGTGGCAGACGCTTCTCCAGTAATTTGATAGTCCAAACTGATGCCTGTCCCTTTTAAAACTTTCAGCAAGCAATAAGTAACAGTTGATTTAGTTGCATACTTAGGACACACTAGCTGTACGTCAAAGTCATCGTAGACAGATACAGCTTCACTAAGGTATCTTTCATTCCTTACGTCGTTCGCCTCCACAGAACCTCGRCAGAATACTCGAAAAGAAGMCGGAGAAGYGTAGTACATGAAATTAATAGGTGTATTTTCAGCGCYGACTGGCATGGACTCGCCAAAATCACACTTGACMGCTGAATTTGCAGTACAAGTCCCTGAAAATGTGGTCAGGCTTGTGACATTTGATGGAAAGTTGCAGCTCAAAGAAGTGGCAAAGCTACTGGTGATTGTGTACACATGGGAGGCGTCTTTGCCTCCGCATTTCAGCCTTGGATTCCCGCTGCAAGGGAAATTGCAGTGATTTCCTCCAACATGTTTGGCCCCACTTATGGAGCTCCCACAGTAGCAGTACCTTCCCRATGTCAGTGCCGCATGAGTCTTCTTTGCTTTAGCGCACGCTACGATACACTTTGCGGGAGTTAAAAATGACGAGTCGTAACTTTCAGTCGGTACAAAAGAGATACCCTTATAACAGCCAAGACGATTTGTCGCTTTGGAAATAAAATGAACATGATGAAAACAGACTCAATGAAATACTGGGGACTTAGTTTCTACAGGGAGGTGTACAGGTCATCTGAGGAGGGGGCAAGCTTCACAAAAACAGTTACAATCGAGAAACGCATCCACCATTATAAAAATACAGYCGAACCCCTATTAAACGACCGTTTATTTAGCAGTCGAGTGCTGTCCAAGGTTATTATTGGGATACCTTASGAGGTGACATCCGGTTGACAGATTGACTTTTTGAAATGACAATCCGTCTAGTTTTGCGAATATCCGGCGGACATTCTTGTAGCAGTCACCCTCCTTAAACCGGCACCAATTCTCATATATAGCTATTTCAAAACAGGTTGTCCGATAAAATGGCGAATGTCAATTGTCGAACCGCGATTGCACGACYGAAAGTAGCCATGGGTTTCGCTTGGTGAAATGAAATAACAACTGATTTGTACTGTAAAATGGTCTGTGGTAAACATTGGCTCCATTTAGTCTCCATTTCTATGTAAGATGAATTCAATAGATGAAATTTGGTTTATCAAAACAGTGTAACCATAGTCCTTTTCGGTCATGCAATCTCCCATCGACAGTCGCCGTTTGCCGTTCTCCCCGACAACGTTTTTTGAAATATCTGTATATATTTCCTATTAACGTGATCAGCATTAAACGGTCAACCTGTATTACGCGGTTACCTGGTCTTTCCTCAACGTGCCCGCTTAATAGAGGKTCGACYGTACAAAGAACCAGACGCAAAAAAATGAAAAGAAATKAACAAATYGATASTCAAAATTATATGAAAACTATAACTTACGTCCTCTTCTACCCAAAAGCTTKGCAAGCAACCTGATTCGGCCGTTAAACGTCTTTGGCTCAATCCGGACACACCTAGCGTCGATCTTAGACGGTAAATCTACCGTCACCTTTGAAGTGCCATCTGTGTTTCCAGTGAATACCTTATGAATTAAATCATTATTTGTTTGAATTTGATATTTTGAAATGAAGTGGAAGTTATGGAAGAACGAGAAATCCTCTTATACCCCGGGCTCTGATAAGGGACAAAGGCCACACATTTCAGTACTTACCAGCTTATAAGAACCCAATTTTTTCAAATTTAGCCTAAACGGGTTCTTATGTAAATGGTGGTTAGTGGAATTTCAAAAATTATATATACCAAATTTAGAAGTTCATTACAGTTTGAGTATGAAGATTATTGACGTCAATTTTTATAAGAACCTGTTTCAAGTTTTAGTCTAAATAGGTTGTTATGTAAATGGAGTCTAAAGTGATATTTTTAGGTTCTTATAGAGCGGATTTCGTATGAGTGGGACACCGTTACCGCACGGTTACCGCACAGTTACCGCACCTGGCCTGCAGAATTTTGGTGAACCAATGGGGCACTAGAATTTGGTTACAGTACGATTACGGTCACAGTACAGTACCGTCCGTTTCCCACTCATACGAAATCCGCTCTAAGCGGGAAGTCTTGTCTTATATGTGATAAAAGGAGCATGCACTATATGTGACGAAAGCCGTGGTTTTTCACCTTTTTAATGCTTCCATCCATGATATACGTAAACACAGCACAGCTCTTGCTATGAGACACKACGAATGTCTTCACATAATCACTTCCTGACCCCTGAACTACTATATGACTGATACTTGTGATTTGGAAAGCGTCGAACTGCAAGTAACTGTTAGCGTCGTACACATCAGGCAACCAACCAGCGGTAAGTCCAGTAGATGGAGCTGTGACGTTTCAAATGATTCGAGCTATTAGCTATTATAAATATCACGAGGAGAAAGATATCGTGCTTTAATCAAGGGGGCAGGGGGCAGGAGGCAGGGGGCAGGAGACAGGAGGCAGGAGGCAGGAGGCAGGAGGCAGGAGGCAGGAGACAGGAGGCAGGGGGAATTGGATAAAGAGAAGGAAAGCACAGAATGATCACAAATGGTCGTTTGGTCGGGTGGTCGTTTATGGGGCACGGTGGTAGCATCCGGGATAAGTGGTAGTTGTAGTGATTTTACTTAAAGTTTATTTTCAGAACAGAATCTTTGTAGAGATCAGAAGTACATAGTTATGTACTTCTGGTTGAATTAAAATATACTTAACAAAGGGTCCGGTTATTCACTAAAATGAAACGAAAATGCAAGACGGAAAAAAAATCCTTACCGTCTTCAAACATTATTCTGCCGTTGAGAGGAGACGATTCTATATCCAGAAATGAACTTGCAGTCGCATGGACTGGGATTGTGGCTGAAAACAAATATGATAAATATAAATAAAATACTTTGAGCCAAACTAAGAAGTCTGATCACGAAGAACAAGAAACYAGCGAATGAGAAAAAGGCCAACATAATAGTACGGGACAACAAGCATCAAAATTTCAATTTTCTTCTTTGTTTCTTTMCTTCACTACGTTCTTCCCTCCCTTCCTCCCTCTTCCCTTCCGTCCTTCCTCCTTCCATTCATTCATTTACTAGTAGCAGGAAG